GAGGCCGTCGAATGACGTCGTGTGCAACGCCCTTCATCGCTCGAGTGGAAAGTACATGGGAAGCGACGAGCGAGGTGTACGTTGGATGGTAATATGGAGGAGGAGATGAGAGACTATGGGAAAACGTGAACTCAGCTAAAGAGTTCCATAAAGAATAAGACAAGGTGGAGATGGGTTGTTGAATCCCCTCTATGTTCCACTCAGAACCCAAGGGAAAAACCGTATAATAACTTTTGTGTCGTTGCCGGATAAAAAGATTGAACAATATTAAATAAACTTACGCAATGTGTTGTTCGACTGATGGATTTTTCTTCTTCAGAATTTCCTGTAGTTCATCTAGTTGGCTTCGAAGGATTTTAAGCTCTTTCAAGTACTTCTTTGTCTTCATATCACAGATGGGATTTTTACATTTATCTTCATGATGCAGCTGCACCATCCGATTATCTGCTTCAGACTGCCTAGGTGCATGATTCAGTGGCTAAATATTTTGAGGGTAAAATACAGTAGTTAAAAATGGCGATTATTCACTTTCTATTTATCGTGTAATTGCGTCGGTGGCATAACGGTCAGGACGCTCGCCGACCATGCACATGGTCCAGGGTACGGTCCCCGGCCACCGACGCACTCACATACCTCACTAAGCCAGAAATAAAAGCTGGTAAAGAGGAAAGGTTGAGCATGAGGCTAGCTAGCAACCCCATCCTGTAAAAATTGAACACTGCTACAGAAACTTCAGGCCACTAGCTTTAAGCCCTATGTTCCACTGGGGAACGTGAAGGAATAAAAAATAAAAATAAAAAATTTATCGTGTAAAACTAATTTGTATGGAAAGATTGAGCTATACCTATAGATATTTTGAGGGAGATCTTTATCTATGAATTGGTTTGTACATTTTTGTTTTACAGATATGAAATTCTCTGATAAATGTTTATTGCACCGTTGGCACTACTCATTATATCCATGCGGGCTGATGGTATAAGATGTACTCATAAGCTGTTGACATGCATGAAAATAATTGTGCCCAAATACTGGTTCACCTGTAATCCTAAGGCTTGTCGATGGCTCAGCAACATATCTGATACCATCAACCATCCATGGGATCTGCGCTACTTTATTCTTAGTATAAATTCCCTTCAGTGGAGTTTATTCTCCTTAGAATTCAAATCACCGAAAATACCCATTGGGTCATAGAGAACATAAAACACAATTCAGCGAAGAAAATGTTCTCTGAATCGATGAAATCACTTCCAGAGGTTGTACAGCCGTATTTATATTTACCAAAAATGTATGGTAGTCCATTCTTGAGTAACTGATATAAAATTAAATCTTTTACAAGGAACAACTAGTGAGGAGGTAAAGACCATTGTAGAACAAAAGACTGGGTAAACTGCTTCTGTATACAGAGTTCTGGATTGTATTGACGATCTGCCAACGCTTCGGTCATACACAAAAGCTGAAACCTATCGCCCTTCGTACCATTTGGTCTCACTTTGTAGATAATCTTGAGAGACGACTGTGGTGGAGATGTGTAGGCTGGATTTACCAAGTGCTAAAGAATTGATATAGTAACTGTCTTGCATTGTCGCTTTCGCTAACCATGCTGGATAATGTTCAGAGATGCGTTCGGAAAGTGTATGCTTCGTGCGGCCAATATGACTGCCTCCACACCAGCAGATGAATTTATTAACACACACTGAAGTGGCGCAAGTGTGTTTTTTCGGTGCATATAAATATGAGCCTACAACCTCTGAAGATAATTTCCTCCTGATGAAGAAAATTTTCTTAGCTGAATTGTCTTTTATTTCCCTAAATATCATTGTAATTTATTCCCAATGGGCTAAGTTTTGATTTCCGCCTTTATTCCAGTTTATCCATGTTTTTCATCTCCCTCAGAGATTGGTGGTGGATCTCTCCTAATACGGATGAGAACGAAGCATGACAGTTTTACAGTTTTTCTTCATTTGCAGGATAAATAAAGAACATCTTATCTGATTGATATTTTGATGGTTATTTCAGTTTGTCTTCACGATTTTCTCTCCACCATTTCACCTTTCCATTTTATAGACAAATTTATTTCACTGTGTCTTTTGTGTACTCATAGAGAATTATTTTAAGTGGTGAGCAACTCGTAGAATTGCATAGTGAACATTTTGAACCAGTTTATTAATACAGGTGATGTAGGAGTGTGCCAACCATTGTGTATGCGATCTGATATATGGTAAATACCTAATTGTTAATACTATTTATTCGGATAAAGAATTGTTTATAAGACACAAAATAATCGAGCAAAGAATATTCTTTTCGATAAATTCCTCTCCCAGGCTCTACAATTATATATATGTTTATATACACAGGATATTTTAAATTAGTAGAATATTCTTTGCTCGATTATTTTGTGTTTTATAGATGTCTGAATGAACATTTTTGCTATAAAGAATTGTTTCTCACGTGCCCACAAATTCTCTTGACCGTAGATGTTAATCAAGTTTTCAGGTGAATTTAGTGTTGATATAAGAGGGTAGTAACAAAAGTGATGAGTTGTCACAAACGACGGTTTAAGAAGAGTTGCGTAATAACATGAATAGTTTAATGAAAGAGTTGTACTCAGAGTGTACATGGAAACAAAATATACGGAATTACACAAGGGTTTTAAGTAGAAAAATAAGCATACAAACAAAAGTTAAGTCAAACAAACAACTGTGTTGATTTGACTTAACTTTTCTTTGTTTGTTTGTTTGTTTGTTTGTTTGACTTAACTTTTGTTTGTATGCTTACTTTTCTACTTAAAACCCTTGTGTAATTCCGTATATTTTGTTTCCATGTACACTCTGAGTACAACTCTTTCATTTAACTATTCATGTTATTGCGTAACTCTTCTTAAACCGTCGTTTGTGACAACTCATCACTTTTGTTACTACCCTCTTATATCAACACTAAATTCACCTGAAAACTTGATTAACATCTACGGTCAAGAGAATTTGTGGGCACGTGAGAAACAATTCTTTATAGCAAAAATGTTCATTCAGACATCTATAAAACACAAAATAATCGAGCAAAGAATATTCTACTAATTTAAAATATTCTGTGTATATAAACATATATATAATTGTAGAGCCTGGGAGAGGAATTTATCGAAAAGAATATTCTTTGCTCGATTATTTTGTGTCTTATAAACAATTCTTTATCCGAATAAATAGTATTAACAATTAGGTATTTACCATATATCAGATCGCATACACAATGGTTGGCACACTCCTACATCACCTGCATTAATAAACTGGTTCAAAATGTTCACTATGCAATTCTACGAGTTGCTCACCACTTAAAATAATTCTCTATGAGTACACAAAAGACACAGTGAAATAAATTTGTCTATAAAATGGAAAGGTGAAATGGTGGAGAGAAAATCGTGAAGACAAACTGAAATAACCATCAAAATATCAATCAGATAAGATGTTCTTTATTTATCCTGCAAATGAAGAAAAACTGTAAAACTGTCATGCTTCGTTCTCATCCGTATTAGGAGAGATCCACCACCAATCTCTGAGGGAGATGAAAAACATGGATAAACTGGAATAAAGGCGGAAATCAAAACTTAGCCCATTGGGAATAAATTACAATGATATTTAGGGAAATAAAAGACAATTCAGCTAAGAAAATTTTCTTCATCAGGAGGAAATTATCTTCAGAGGTTGTAGGCTCATATTTATATGCACCGAAAAAACACACTTGCGCCACTTCAGTGTGTGTTAATAAATTCATCTGCTGGTGTGGAGGCAGTCATATTGGCCGCACGAAGCATACACTTTCCGAACGCATCTCTGAACATTATCCAGCATGGTTAGCGAAAGCGACAATGCAAGACAGTTACTATATCAATTCTTTAGCACTTGGTAAATCCAGCCTACACATCTCCACCACAGTCGTCTCTCAAGATTATCTACAAAGTGAGACCAAATGGTACGAAGGGCGATAGGTTTCAGCTTTTGTGTATGACCGAAGCGTTGGCAGATCGTCAATACAATCCAGAACTCTGTATACAGAAGCAGTTTACCCAGTCTTTTGTTCTACAATGGTCTTTACCTCTTCACTAGTTGTTCCTTGTAAAAGATTTAATTTTATATCAGTTACTCAAGAATGGACTACCATACATTTTTGGTAAATATAAATACGGCTGTACAACCTCTGGAAGTGATTTCATCGATTCAGAGAACATTTTCTTCGCTGAATTGTGTTTTATGTTCTCTATGACCCAATGGGTATTTTCGGTGATTTGAATTCTAAGGAGAATAAACTCCACTGAAGGGAATTTATACTAAGAATAAAGTAGCGCAGATCCCATGGATGGTTGATGGTATCAGATATGTTGCTGAGCCATCGACAAGCCTTAGGATTACAGGTGAACCAGTATTTGGGCACAATTATTTTCATGCATGTCAACAGCTTATGAGTACATCTTATACCATCAGCCCGCATGGATATAATGAGTAGTGCCAACGGTGCAATAAACATTTATCAGAGAATTTCATATCTGTAAAACAAAAATGTACAAACCAATTCATAGATAAAGATCTCCCTCAAAATATCTATAGGTATAGCTCAATCTTTCCATACAAATTAGTTTTACACGATAAATTTTTTATTTTTATTTTTTATTCCTTCACGTTCCCCAGTGGAACATAGGGCTTAAAGCTAGTGGCCTGAAGTTTCTGTAGCAGTGTTCAATTTTTACAGGATGGGGTTGCTAGCTAGCCTCATGCTCAACCTTTCCTCTTTACCAGCTTTTATTTCTGGCTTAGTGAGGTATGTGAGTGCGTCGGTGGCCGGGGACCGTACCCTGGACCATGTGCATGGTCGGCGAGCGTCCTGACCGTTATGCCACCGACGCAATTACACGATAAATAGAAAGTGAATAATCGCCATTTTTAACTACTGTATTTTACCCTCAAAATATTTAGCCACTGAATCATGCACCTAGGCAGTCTGAAGCAGATAATCGGATGGTGCAGCTGCATCATGAAGATAAATGTAAAAATCCCATCTGTGATATGAAGACAAAGAAGTACTTGAAAGAGCTTAAAATCCTTCGAAGCCAACTAGATGAACTACAGGAAATTCTGAAGAAGAAAAATCCATCAGTCGAACAACACATTGCGTAAGTTTATTTAATATTGTTCAATCTTTTTATCCGGCAACGACACAAAAGTTATTATACGGTTTTTCCCTTGGGTTCTGAGTGGAACATAGAGGGGATTCAACAACCCATCTCCACCTTGTCTTATTCTTTATGGAACTCTTTAGCTGAGTTCACGTTTTCCCATAGTCTCTCATCTCCTCCTCCATATTACCATCCAACGTACACCTCGCTCGTCGCTTCCCATGTACTTTCCACTCGAGCGATGAAGGGCGTTGCACACGACGTCATTCGACGGCCTCTTCAGCTCATGCTCAATCCATCTCCATTTTCTTCTACATGTTTGTTGAGTAATCGGTTCTTGGTTGGCTCCTCGCCTTGGTTTTTTGTTGCCAATTCTTTGTGACCAGCAGGCTGACCATTTGATCTTCAGTATGCAGTCAACGAAGACAGCTGTTGATAAAAGTCTACAGTAGCCGCCTGTTCGAAATGCTTTTCGTGACGCACTCACCCGGTTTCTAAACCACACAGAGGAAATGACTGACTTGATATTTGCGTTGAAAATCCGAATCTTGTTCTTCATGCTGAGGCGGAGTGCAGAAGAGTTCCATAGTGGTTTCAGAGTGTAGAAGGTGTGCGTATCTTTCCTATTCTGGCTGGCTGCCTAGCTGTCTTTGAGATGCTTCCTAGATAAGTGATGGAAATGACCTATTTCAAATTTCTTCAGTTGATGGTGATTGGTGTTCACCTGGAGTCTTGTCTTCGCTGCTTGCTTCCTCACCCAGTTTGTTGGTTTAACATCTTCAAGTTTGCGTGACACTAGACACGAATCGTCCCCGAAGTCTGGTTCTTCTGGAGTCTTCTTATCGGTGGTCCATCGTATTCCTGACCTCTCGCTACACACTCACTCTCTGACGCATAATCCAGTCCCCCACCATTCAGAATATCACCGTTAATGGTAACAGGCAGCCCTGCCTTACCCTTGTCTTCACTGCAGAGACCTCTCTGAGTTTCTTATAGTAGGTTGTCTGACACGTGCCACTGTCATGTAGCTGTGGTTGAATGAGTTTGACAAAGATTTTTCGGCGCTGCACTCCATAGTGTTGAAGTACTTACCAAATTACTTTGTGGTCAAAGCTGTCGAAGACCTTTTCGGAATCGGTGAAGTTGAAATAGACAGAGGTTTGACTGCCATTCAATGTTGTCTCCGATGTTGGGAGTGGTGCGTAGAGTTGGAACTCGGTCCACATATTATTCGCCTTTTGCTGAATCCAGGCAACTTGTTCTTGCGGGTTGCAGAGTTCTCTATCCAGTGCATCCTTTATTCTCTCCAGGATGATGCAACTTAGTATTTTACTTGACGTGGAAAAGAGCATGATCCTGTGACAGTTGTTGCAGAGGCTCAGGTTTCCCTTCTTCAGTAGTTTCACAAGTTAGTCTTTCTTCCAATAAGTAGGTATCCCCTGTGGTTTTGTCCTTCAGTTTCCAATTGTTCAACTTCAATTGTGGCCTGTCTCTAGTTATTCTGAAGGATTTCAGCTTCACCATGAAGGTTCCCTAAACTAGATGGTGGTCCGAGCCCACATCTGCTACCTTTCTCGACTTTAAATCCACCCTCTTGAGGTTGAGATTAAATCTATCTGGTTCGTGGTGTGTCCATCAGGCGAGATCCATTTTGCTTTGTGTACACTCTAGTGCTTGTACATCTTGCCATCGATCACCAAATCAGTAAAGGTGCAGAAGTCTGCGTAGAACTATTCATTGTCATGCATTTCGACGAGCGACAAACCCTCAACCCATGATGAGTTCTCTTCGTGATTTGTGTGCTCCCAGTTCATTTGACATTCATATCACCCACAAGGATTTTGATGTCGATGTTGTCCATTACTGTTTGCAGTTGTCTATAGAAATCTTGCCTCATCTCTTGTTCTGAGTCGTTTGTAGGTGAGTAGAATTGCAAATTCCCTTCCTTCTCTTTGAGTTGAAATTTGATGTCATTATCCTGGATCAGTTTGGTTCCCACTGCCTAACAGGTGTGGCTACTGTTGGTGACATCATGATCGCCACTCACTGCCTCAGTGAGCTGGTGGTTTTCATCTGGTTGACCGGAGTGGATTATTGACTCTCCACTTAACAACCTTCGCCCAGCTGGCAGTAATCCCAGTAGAGAGAGGTGGATTTGCATAGGGCTATCAATCTAATGCTGTGATAAACAACATCAACAATTCCAACGCTCCACATCCATTCCATCTGCTCTTGCAGATTCCCAGCACTTCTAGGCTATATCTTCTCATTTCTCTGGCTACATGAGCAGCCATCCCAGACAGCCTCGTACATTCTATGTACATTCTACATCCCCATTCTTATTCTTGCTTCCATCGAGAGCATAGAGAAGCATAGGCTGACTGGAGTCCTGAAGGCTTTCATCAGCCCTCTGTATCATTTTGCCTCTCCGATTCCAGCGAAGAATAGGTTTGTTTTTCGTATAGTTTGTATTTTTAACATGTTTCTTGTGCATTGAAGTCTCTGTGGCAGTCCCATTGGTTTCTCGAAGTAGGATCTCTAGGCCTATGCCAAACCCTGCCTCTTTTCCGGGGCTTGGATCAGCTGAGAAACCAGCAACCAACTAACAATAGCAATAGTCATTACCATTTAAACATTTTAAATCTCATCGTATGACTGCGAATCTTTCTCACTTCCAGTCATGTCACACCTGGGTATAACTCCCAACGGTTGTGGCGAAATGACAGTCTGGACCTAGACATGAGTCTCGTTCTTGACTGAATTTGAATTAGTGTAAGGAATCAGTAATCAGTGACTTTTGTTGACACGGCTCAAAATAATTTACAGTGGATCAGAGGTGTTCATTCCGCATCACCTTAAAAATCAAATATATATTGAATTGATGCACATTGATTAATCTATGCATTAAAGCATTACCTATTTTCTAAAAATTTACAATTCGACTAAAAATACGACTGAGTATTGTCGACCGAAAATGAAGTTTGACCAAAATATCAGTCAAAAAAGAAATAATAATAAAGAATCACACGTCATGTAAGGAAGACTTTATGAAATATAGAGGAAATCTTATTTTATGCTCAAAAATGAATATGATCTCAACATTCGAATCGTTTGCTTGATACTGACCGGTACGCCTTCAAACTCACAAGGTTACTGATAATATACCATTGCTAATAAGTGTGAAAAAGTCAGTGTTTCGTGCTGTGTGATTGGTCTCATTGGTACAGAAACTATCTTTTCGAGATGTGGTCTATCCTTACTGTGACAAGTGATGAAGTTCTCTGGATAACCATTAGGTTATAAACATGAATGTATGTGTCGAAACTCATCCATCAATGTGTCACTCGTGCATATTTTTCGGGCCCTTGAGAACAAACATTTCACTAGGGAACGTTTTTTATTTTTTTTATTTTTTTGATTTACAGCTTGATTTCCACACCGTATTTTCAGTACAAGTGTGGAACTTTCAGCATGGATATCGGTTGCCCAAATTCAGGCATACCATAGATATCGGGTGTGCGCCGGCAGGGGTTCGAACCCCGGACCATGTGCATGGTCGGCGAGAGTCCTAACCACTGTTTATACTGGATAGGAACAAAACTGGTAAAATGAAGATATTGTCCACTCCATGTCTGTTTACAAAAAATAGATTGCTTAATCGTTTCATCGTCTCTCCTGGTCACTGGTAATATCCAGGAAACCGAGTTTGTTATTTGATTCAAGTTGGGAAGTCACTCGGATATTTGGATGAATATGACTAAATAGGGTAATTAAGTTTTCAATAGATTTACTATTATTACCAACAATGAGTGCATCATCTACATAACGTTTATATAGGCTAAATTCTCCAAGCACACCTTGCATTTCTTTCTCCAATTTCGACATGAATATATGTGCTAACAGGGGCCCAAGAGGGCTCCCCATCGCAACACCGTCGATTTGTATGTATGCCTTTTCTTGGAAGGCGAATCTAATATTTTCCGTACATATTAGGATGATGTTAGGTCACAAAATCAACATTAATGACTGTTTCACAATTATTTCATCACATAACTCTAATTCAAGGTTACTGGAGGTGATGGAAGCCCTTTGGATTAATCACATACATTCTAAACTGTGTGTACATAGAAAAAACAATAGACTTCAATCTTCGCCTACCATGGCGAGCATGCTTGACCTATTTATAGATATGAATGGTCATTAGTATGTGCTTTTGTTCTTCATATAACTGAGTCATGAACTTTATTTTATTATTATTGTTAACCATGTTAGTTGTTGTAAAGCGGTTGGTTGTAAAGAAACTACGAAATGAAGATATCATCTCGCGAAATTTGTCTTCTAGATGCCTTTTTCAAATTTATCAAAGGGACTAATTGCCTTAATATACTTAGAAGTAAAAGCGTTCATACTCCACTCCCCCGTCCTCTTTTCTTTTTTCTTTTTTTAATTTGATGATAACAGCACAGGAGAGACTGATGCTCAAAATAAGACAACATTCGAATATCTATACAAGAAGAAAAGAACAGACATTGTGAGTAATAATGAAGCTACCGATTTAGATGAGCATGAAAGGAATACAAATAATAAACTTAGATTGAAAATTGAACCTACTGAAAAATCATTGACGATGATGAATAAAACAAAAGCAGCATCAGTAGGCAAGGAAAAACAAATGATGATGGCGACAGCAACAACAACAACGACAGCAACAACAGCGACGAAAACGCCACTGAGTCAGTCAACTAAAGGTACACGTCAAAAAGTGACGATAATACCAATCGCCAACCAAATTAATGAACCTCAACAGGCAAGAACTTGTGATGAATTATTATTAACAAATGGAATGGAGACCAAATATGTTATCCTGCCTAAATTAGAATCATCACCGAACAGAAGAAGACGATTCATCAGATCACAATCAATCGATCCGAATTCATTAGTGACAACATGTCAAACAGACTACAAGTTTATTATCCCTAATAGTTCAATGCCTACAACACAAACAATTTCACAAAATGTTAATCACAATGAAACTCATATGATTACACCTGTACAACAAAATGATGTCAGTATAAATCTCACAAGTCGAACTGTTGAATCTTCGCCTAACAATGAATTAAAACCTTGTTCATCTCTAATAAGCATAAAAAGTAGAGAAACAGACTTAGAACGCCAAAATCGAGGAGAGATTATGAAGTGTTTAGTTGAAAAAGAATCAGTTTTATGAAAATAAATCCTACTAGTGAACATTGTTCTGTTTTTGATTGATAAAGTTAATCGTTGCAGGCTGGGTCAAGATATATATATATATATATACATACTTTTTTTTTGATTGCACACTAGTCAGTAACTAGTGTAATGTGTCTAGTCGCATCTTCGGTGCAGACTGAATTCTATCAGTCAGAATCATATCATCAACAATGATGATAACGTCAAATACTGAGCACAGTAGTTGTCTGTAGTTTGCAAAATAATAACTCCTTTGCATTCCGAGTGGAACAACAATAAGGCTTCAGGCTTTGAAGTGCCATCCGGTAGAGGTGGCGTTGTTCCTCTACGGGGTAGATTCGCTACCCTTACCTCCCAGTGTGTTTGAGCCTGCCAGCAGCTGATACGCCATGTTTAGGAGTGCGTCGATCGGGCTGAGAATCGAACCCGTATCTCCTGAGTCGCTGGCAAGTATTTTACCAGTGAACCACCGAAGCACCACAAGTGGAGTTCAGGACGTAAGTTGTTTAAGGGGAATTACACAAATTTAGTGAATACAAACCTCCACCGGAAGACTTTAGTCGAAACAATTTCACTTTCAGCTAGGGAAACAATCTAATAATATTTCAATTTCATTCTGAATTCTATCAGTGATATGATAAAACCTGTGGAAAGAAGTTGAAACATAGGACTAACTCGTCTAAAACAGTGTCCTAACGATCACAAGATGTAACAAGTGTTGGCTAATATAAGAATAAAACTTGTGCTCTGTGGTAGAGTGTAATTCCATTATGGGTAAATTTTGTTTTGATAAAGTCTCACAGTGTGTTATACAGTAATGTTTACTGATGACCACGTTTCGAGCACAATTTATTACTGCTCATAATCATATCAAGGTAATCACACGACTTCCTAAATTCATTTATATAGTTCCATTGTTTTTCACTTGATTTGATTCGTAGTAATATTTTCCATATTTCGGGTATGAGTGATGAATCATTCCTATTGCATGTGTTGGGTGTAGATTCGATGAACCAGGCAGGATTCAGTAATCAACCTCTCTCTATCTCTACCTACGTAGATTACTTTCTAGAATTTCAAACTTCTACCACCCTATTGTGTGGTTGTGTGTTAATGCATGCATTGCAGTTGCTGAGCTTTTTTCTAAATTACTCATCTTCTCTGGGTCAACCATTCTTACCTTAGCTAAATTCTTATGTTCTGACAATCTGACTACCCCTGACCTACTAGTTTGACCTATGTAGTTGACCTGACTCACAGTCATTGCAGGGTATTTTGTAAATTATATTATTTTGTCTAATTGGGTCAACCGATAGGGTCCTTTAACCTACAGAGCTTGTCCCTGAGTGAATTTGTAGGTTTAAATGCCACCCTAATTCCTGCTTTATTTAGAACCCTACGTAGGGTCTCAGATGTCCCCTCTTTATATGGTATAACTGTAGATGACTTATATTCTCTCTTATTTATGTTGTTATTACTAGTTTCACAATTATTTTTCTTTTTTCTTTTGGCCTTTTTCAATCTTCCTAATAAATTTTAAAGGATAGTTATTTGACACCAACGCTTCTTCTATCTGTTTTATTTCATTATTTAGGTCTTTTTTGTGCTACTTAGTGCCATTGCTCGGTTTGTTAAACACTTAACTAAGCCTGCCTTAACAGTTAAAGGATGAGATGAATTAAAGTCGAAATATCTATTAGAATGCGTTGGTTTTCTATAAACACTAGTGTGTAGTTTGCCTTATCTATTCGTTTTATTTTACAATCTAACATAGCTAATTCTCCTTGCTCATTTTCGGTTTCAAATGTGAATTTTATTCCCTCCACTAGTGTTTTTATGTGTGTCAAGAAGCTAGAGAGAGATATGTTCTGATTTTAACACTGTGAAAGTGTCATCCACATATCTCCACCATATTTTTGGAGTAGGATTAAACGTATTAAGAACCATATTTTCCCAGCTATCCATAAATATGTCTGCTACGATAGGGGATATTGGTGATCCATCCCATTGCTACACCTTCAGTTTGCCTACATATTTTGCCTTGGAATTTAAAGATAGTAGATGTGAGGCACAACTGAATTCCTAAAATAATTTCATCAATGGGTAGTTTCGTCCTATAAGTGAGTTCAGGGTGTGCAGTTAATTCCTTTTTAACTGCTTCTAAGGCCATATTGATTGGTATGTTAGTATAAAGACTGGTTACATCAAAACTAACCATTGTTTCATCATTCTCTGGTTGAATGTCATTTAGTTTATTTTCCATCTCATATGAATTAGAACAAAATATTTAGAGCGAACAATTGTTTTCAATAAATTTTTCTTCAGGCTCTACATTTATAAATCCATTAATTTAAGCATACAATAGCCAGTAAAGGCAAATTAGAATCATATCAGAAAGTGTATTGTGGAACAAATATAAGATGGGATGGAACAATAGTCAGATAGGTTTTTAATATGCATGGTCAATGAGAACATGGGACAAAATCAGATGAAGTAATTTAATTTAATGTTGTGTGTATATATATAAATATAGTCAACAGAAATACAGGTTTCGAGAGTGTGTGTAATCAGGGTGTGTGAGACAATATGAAAATAGACCAACGAATGGGGCGGACTAGACATAAGTTCAAGGTTGAAAATAACGACAGTAAGAATGATTGTAAAATAATAACGATGATATGGTGTAAAATTACATGCACTATTGGTGAATGATTGTCAAATAATAATAATGAATATAATGAAGTGGAATGAATAGGATTTTGTAAATACGATAGCAAGGTAATAAAATCATAAGAAAGGTCATGAAATCATAAAAGTCGAAAATGAACGATTGTCAGTGAAACAGAGGAATAGAAGAAGAAGAAAAGAAAATTGTGAAAGGAATTTATAGTGTTAATGGAGGATTTGTTGGCTTTATTGTAGGCCAAGGTAAACATAATGGTTGAACATACTTCTTCTGTATGCAAAGAGATGGTCTTCTGGTATTAATTGCCACCGCTTCAGCTACTGATAGAAGACGTAGTCGAGCTCCTCTAGATAAATTACTAGGAACGCGGTAAATAACTGAGAACGCCTGGTCAAGTTTTATCTGGTGTCCAGTATCTACCAGGTGGGCTAAGACTGCACTATTTACACACTTGGTTACTCCTTTACTCAACCATACAGGTACATGTTCACGTGCGCGCATGGATAAAGCCCTCTGAGTACGGCCAATGTAACTAGCTCCACATGAGCAGTTGAATTCATAGATGCACATTGATGAGGCCATCTTTGGTAATTTATCCTTTACTTGCTGTGTGAGTACTGGTTTAGTTGAGAAGTTGAGTACCAGTTTAGCTGCAGGAAATGTTCTATCTACTGCTCTATTAAGTCGACATTTTAGAATGTCAGCTGCAATTTCCCCTTTGTAACTTAACTTAAGATACAAAGGTTTCTTTTCTACGGTATCCACCTTTACCTTGTCTGCAGGTATTGACATATACTTTTTTAGGAAGCTCTGTGGATATCCATTTTCTTGTAGTGTGAGTTTCAGTTTGTGCATTTCTTCCTTAATGCATTCTTCTGAACATATACGTTTTATTCTATAGCTTAGACACTTAACTAAGTTTCTTTTGTACTGAATAGGTGCGAAGCTATGGAAATGGGTGTACTGACCCGTCCAAGTTTTCTTTCTAAATAGTTTCCTTTGTAGATACCCGTCTGTCTTCATGGTAAGGAGGACGTCTAGGAAAGGTAAACTGTTATTTTCTTCTTCTTCACATGTAAACTGAATAGTTGGGTGAACACTATTAACAGCATTGAGAAGCTCTTGTTTATTGAGATTTATATCACAAACGATAAAGGTATCATCTACGTGTCGACAATAATAATCAAACCCTTTAATCGTGTCTTTAAGTGGAAGGTTTTCAAGCTTTGCCAGGAAAATATCCGCTAGCATGGGGCTCAGAGGTGATCCCATGGCTACACCATCAACTTGTCTATAGAAACCATTATTGAACATAAACTGAACATTCATAGCGCATTTCAATAATAATTCTTTGACTTTTTCGGATGGGATTCCTACATCTATCTTTCTTTCTATCAGCTGGTCACATATGTAGTTGACTGTTTCAAGCAGTGGGACGTTGGTAAATAATGATGCTACATCCAGTGACATCATTTTCTTTCCCTTTACATTCAGGCTTTTGGTAGTTTCCACAAAGCTAAATACGTCTTTTACACTGAATTTGACTAATTCGCGATGTAATGGCTCTAGTGCCTTTACCAACCACTTTGCTGTAGAATGATAAGGCGATTGACACATATCTAAGATGGGACCTAGTGGTACTCCCGGCTTGTGGACTTTCGGTAAACCATAAAGTCTTGGTGTGTGCGTACCTGAGGGTTTCAATTCGTCGAGTGTATCCTTAGGAATCAGATTACTCTCAACTAATGATTTTAGTGTCTTAGCCATTTGGCGTTCGGTTGCCTCAGTTGTGTCTTTACAGCTGCTCAGTTTTTGAAATTTCGTATGGTCGCTTAGAATGATATTCATTTTGTCTAAATAATCACTCTTATTCATGATAACTGTACCAGATCCCTTGTCAGGTCTAGTTATTATCAGATTTTCGTCCTTTTTGAGGTCACGTAATGCCTCTCGGTGTTTCTTTGTAAGTAGACTATTGGCAGGATGTTTGCTGTTCTTAAACTGGTAACAGGAATCGATTAGGGTACTTTTAAATCTTTCTAGCTCATACTTGGACGAAGGAGTTAGGTCGCTTGTCTGGGTAAATAGGTTTTCAAATTGAACATCAGTCTCTAAATGATCAACCTGATTACGTCTGTCACAGAATTTTAAACCGAGAGATAAAGCTTCAAGTTGTGTCTTATCAAGGCATACAGAGGAAAAATTGAAAACGTACCGGTTATAGTCAACTGGAAAATTAGTTTCAGTCGTTTCTGTATCTAGTCCTTTGGTTAATAATATCAATTTCTTGCTTTCTCGAGTTTTTAGAACTTCATTAACGTAGTCAATAA